CCAAGTAGTATTTATAATATAACTTTTTAATAACTACTCTTAAAACTAAAAATAAAATAGCAGTAATTAATTTTTATTTAAATGGTAATTTAATGTGTTAAGAGCCCAAAATGAAACTGGTCATTATCTCAATAGTAAAGACTGCCAGAAGATTCATTACTGATTAATAATGGGGAACACAGTGTACTGAACAGCTTCCTTTAATCCCAGAAGCAACTAGAAACTAAACTTTCAAGCATAATAAACTGTTTAAAATAAGCAGTTTAAACTGCTGTTTAAAATAATGTTTAAATTGCTTAAAATAAGCAATTATTTTCTTTAYAGAAGTTATAATTAACAGATATAATGTACTTAAGTTTTCATTTTAATCTATACTGATCAAATCCCTTCTAAAAATATCGGGATGCGTACATCATGAAGACTTCTTGCTCTAAATATTAGCTTAAAAATCCTATAGCATACTCTTTCCTTAGACGACTACTGTGTATTATTCTGAACAATTTGTATGATCATTTCTAATGAACATAAAAATTTCATGATAAAATTGTTGCATTAACAACTTTTTTTGTTAGTGAAGATTCCTAACAACATTTAGTGCAAATGGACTTAAAAATGCCTGTTAATCACAAAGGATGTCTATATTTTGTTGCTCAAGTTAATAATTTTCAGTCTGTAAGACAGAGATATTTAAATATGAACATGAGTAGCATCTGAAGAAAGCTGAAAATCACTGATCTGCTCCTAAGCTGTTTGCGTGGACATGTAAGTATGCAATAGTAACTATTAATTAATGTTTATATAAAACTACCTAAACAGGAAGAGACACAAAAAGTAAACATATTTACAGTGAAAGGGTTCTACAAATCCTTTGAACAGATGCTGATTTTAAAAAAATATTTAGCTAGAGAATGAAGTAATAAGGGGAACTAACCTATATTAAATCAATTCTCTCCATGTAACCTTAAAGAACAGGCCTCTGAAAATGCAAATGGAAGTTTACTGCAGCTGCGGGTTTGAAAGTCAAATCATTAATTCATTTAATACTCTCATCAGCTCCCTGCTACAGACATCATGTATTAGGCCACTGAACTTACTGAAACTCACTGAATAAAATCTCCTAAACAAGGGTAGTAACAAACMTTCTATAATTAGTTAAGGGCTCCGTATCAAGAACTCTGAAGTAGCAATGTATAAAATCCTTGAATATCTACGAGCAGTCACATAAAACAACACTGCAGAAAAGAAAAATTCCAGGCAGATTTGCCTTGTTCTAGTCAAGAAAGTACTCTTTGCCCATTTCTTCTAATTTACCTGCTATCAGACCTAGGATTCAAAACCTTCAAGAATGAATACTTCACATTCCTTTCATATAATGAAGTACAGACATCAAACACCTGACACTATCACTGCTATTACCAAAAGCAAGCCAGAAAGAAGGAGATAAGGTAATTTCAGTTAATATAACCACTTCATCTATGTCTCAGAAACATGATAAATATTAATGTATATAAATATTAATGAAATATTGCATATGAGGGGAAAAAAGGCAATAAYGGTCTTAGAAAAGATGTTAGTATTTCAAAAATCTTTTCCCAGACTTGCCATCTACAAACTTCATCAAAGACACAGTGCAATTATCTTCCTGTATGTCTCAGAAAAATCACACTTGTTTGCCTTTGGGCAGGGATACATTAATAAGGATTTTCTCTCCCTCTCTCTCTGTGCAGTTATGTATATGTACATAAACTGAATTTTTTGACTACTAACATGGCAGTTTATATGTCTCGTATGAATATTTCAAATACCTGGTAACATTCCTATTTGTCCTACTGAATGTGCACTGAAATGCCTGTGAAGTACTGCTATGTARTAACGGCTCGCTTTGAGCAATAAATCTAAACTGGCACAGGAGCTTAGTGGTTTTGTACATTCCTTAATGCACCATTTTGGCAAGAAATGCCTAACTTTAATAGAATACCTTAATACTCGGGTTGCTTACAAATGAACACAAGCGAGTAATTTATATTACAGAGAACAACATATCCCACAGTGAGGAAAAGGCCTTGGCTACTCCCAATTGACTAAGAACAGGTTTAAAACATATACATCGAAATGGAAAGGTTACAAAAAATCAGTATTAAGTATCTTCCAGGACAAAGTTTGGTTCAAAGCTCTTTTAACTGATGCAATTATTAGCAACCACACATTAAAAATTTGAAAAATCTAATGAATAATTAAACTCATGTCAACAGTTCCTGAAGAGCACCACTTATCTCCARAACATGTAAGTTCCTTTCAGCAACACCAGCTGCTAAGGTAAAATATTCCTGCCCATGTTTTTGTTCAAGATAGCTAAGAAGTTGGAAACCCATCCACTGATACTGGCTTCTGCTGTGAAGCAACTAAGTCTCTCTAGAATCTCCAAGCCACCAAGTAGGAGTCTCAAGGGGGGGGAGCAATTTCTCTGTTAATTGTATGTCACTTTGAGCTACAACTAATAATATAAACCATAAAATAACCTGTTTCTGAGACAAATTTCAGGATTACCTGTAACATCAGAAACTCAACTGAGCAACAGTGTATAAATTTGCATCTTACTGAGGAAGAACTATCCTTCTGTAGCTCCAAAAATAAATGCTTTAGACAGAATAGCCATRTAGAAAGAAATGGGTCCTTTAAACATGTTTATGCAATCTACACAATTTAATAAGTAAGGTTTTGTTTTCCCTAGGTAGTAACAGAAAGCTATTTTGAATATCCAAAGGGTTTTTTTCTGTGATAAACACAACATTTAGAATGGAAATACAGTGCTACTTTAATAAAAAGCTCAATATTTATCTTCTCAAATTAAAAATATGTCTGCTATTTATTAAGCATCACACCCTAAATAAGGTATTACTGGGAAGCAAAACAGAAAACATCGCTGTGCTCTTAGCTGTTTGAATACTGTTTGCAGTTCCACAACTTAAAAAAGGCAGTAGTAGAAGTACAGAAAGACACAAAGAGTTAGAATGTCTATGACTGACAGTAATGAACAGCCTGGATATAGGGAGTACTAAATGGATTAAATTACTTCAGCTTGGAAGATTTAAAACTGAGGTAATGTGAAAGACAGAATAAAATTATGAACAGAAAACAACTGCCTCCCATTTCTCACAACAAAAAGCCTAGGTTATTCCAACTTGACCAGGGACAATACTTCCTACATACTCCGTAACTCATGGCAATAATTTAATTCTGTACATTCAAAATATATAGGGGAAAAATCCCTTAGATAAATTAAATAAGGAAGGTCCAATCAAGTCTGTTAAGCACAGCCATGCAGATACAGCTTCCATGTGAGATGTGCCTTCCCACACTGCAAACTGATAGGAAGTGGGTGGTACAGAGGGCCCACTCCTAACATCTACTTTAAAAAAAAAAAAAAAAAAAAAAAAACACCCTACAATGCTTCTTAGGAGGTCATGGGTAACAGCATCTCAGCAACAGGACTGGGACTACAGGAAGGGGACGRAGATTGACAGCAGCCCTCTATCTACATTACAAAAAATTGTATACATTTCAATCCAAGAATTATCTTCACCACATTATCCGTAAGCATGGCTTACGGAGTTGTAGTTTATTAAACCAGATTGCAGATATGTTTTATTCTGGGGTGATAAGGCAATTACAGTTTGTCTTTTTGATCAAATGTTGACACAGAAAGAGTAGTCAAGCACTGGAACAGGCTGCCCAAGAAAGGGGTGCAGTCACTATCCCTGGCACCTAAGACACTTGGGGACATGGTTTAGCAGGCAAGGTGGTGACGTGTTTACAGTTGGGCTTGAGGATCTCGAAGGTCTTTTCCAACCACAATGATTCTATGATCCTATAAACACTTAAATGCTGAAGGGTCATAATAAAAATTATACAAGTTAATTTGAAGGGTTCCTGAAAAAAAAACTAAGTTGCAAATTAACCAAACTGAGTAATATATGTGTAGGTACTGTACACGGGGAGAGACTGAGGAAGGAAGCAGAGAAGGAAGGGGGAAAGTGGCAAGGCTGCATCTTTTAAAGCAATTTTAATACAGTATTTGGGGTTTAAATTAAGAAAGTGTTTGTCAAGTTCTGCTGGGAATACTGTTCTTCAGCAGTGTAGTTAAAGATGGCCAAAGAACAAATATAAGTTTTAGATATAAAGTTTTCATCTTGGTGTAAAAAGAAAAGATATTYAGAATTCAAGGACACAAACGTATGCATATGATGCAGGGCACAATACTGCCAAGCGCACAGAACACACAGAGTATCACAGAGCACAAAATTACAGGTATCATCTGGGACAGGTAGACATTTCTGCATTCTAAAACAAATACGTTTCCACAACCCAGTGTAATGATTGACATGCTAACAGCTCTGTTTGCCCTGAGAAAAATCCCAATGAAACTGTCATGAATATCTGTCCATATATTCTTTTAAAACATGTTTCTGTTTGCCTAGCACAGGACAATAGTTGATTACCAACTGACAATTAGAAATGTAAACACATTACAGTTCAAAAGTCACAAAATACATTTCTCCTTCAGCAACTGCGTGCATCTTTTAATATAAATCTAATGATATTGGGAAAACAATCTGTGTTTTTACTGCAATGTCTTTCTTATCAAGGTTTTTTTGAAGAATTACAGAGTTCCGAAAGTGGTTTTGTTTTGAAATGACGAGGTAATCAAAAACAAAACAAAATGAACAGCAACAAAAAAACAGATCCACATTCTCCTTTTGGTAATTACTAAACTAGATTCAAAATTAACCCAAAGATGACAACAGGAAACACTACTTATGTATTTGTCAAGTTAAGATGAAGCTAGAAACAAACCCAAGATATGGTAAAAATCACAAAAGTAACTGTATTACCAGCCACTTTTCCTGAAATTGTGTTTAAACACTTGAAGTTCTTCCAAACCAAGACTTAAATCAAATGCAAATGAAGTAGCCCCTTCCCCCTCAGCTTATTAATCATACCTTAATTTGTGCAAAAGGTCTGTCAAAGTTTCCAACATAAAGAAGACCAACATTCTGGGTGAGCAGCCTAGAAAAATGAAAAGAATCTTTTAAGATATCACTTTACATTCACACAAGCTCTCTGCACCTCCAGTAACTACTGCTAGACTCCAGCAGGGAGGCCAGCTTCATGACACTATGGCAAGAGATACCTTTGCAAATACAGCTACAGCATTCTGTTCTTCCTAGCGCAAAAGGAAAGACATGCATTAAAAATAGACATGCCACTGTCATTTGTGTTTATTGTGCAAGCAGCTCTTCAACAAAACCACTTCATGACTTCTTGTGGTGGATGCCACTCAAGGTACAAGAACGACAGGGTAACTGCCTATTCTGTTTATCAGACACTATCAGGGACAAGAAAGCAGCAAAAGCTAAGGACAAGCGTAAACATATTCAGAGCAACAGGCAGAAGAGTTAAACGAGATTAGGACAAATAAACTATGTAAAATAACATGAAAGTGTCAGCATTGCAAGAAGAGAAATAACAGAGAATTTCTGCTATATTTTCTAATGGCTTACTAACTAGAGAAGGCACCAGGCACAGTTTGTGGTTATTCTGTAAGTCAGTATGTACTCTAGCAAGATGTAGAAAGTCAGTAGGACAAGTGGATTCAAAGGAGTGGGGGTACCTTCGGGGTGGGGGTGGGGGGAAGCAAAGCAAAGTTTAACTTCTGCAAATACTGTGCAAAAAGTCTATTCTACTGCAGCACAAAACTTGAACATGAGAGAAACATCAGGGTGCCATTCTTGGGAAAATGAAGACAAATACAACACTGGAGACAAGGGACCAGCTAACCACACATCAGAACACCTTGCAGTCAGTTGGTAGCATCACTGTGTTGCCACTGCTAAGCAGAGCTGGAGCTGATATCCCTTCTTGCTACATGTCCCCTAAAAATCTTGTGGAGTGCAGAAACCCCATTAAGAGAAATGGACTGGTGACAGACAACTGAAAATTTATGCTTTGATTTAGAGAGACATTCAAAACCCATCATAATCTTCAATAGCTCCAAGTCTGCTTTAACTTATTAAGCACCTTGTACTTGCATCCTTTGATTCCACAACCCATTCATTCTAATAACAAGACCACCTGTATAGTCTATATTTCCTCCAACTAGAAATACCCAGGGAAAAAAAAGTAGGAATGCAGGCATAGTTCTGCTCAAGTCTAACAGTTTAACTGAGGTATCTCTTTTCAATAAGACATTTATATGTTTATGCATACACATCATAATATGTATTTTAAATTCATGGCGAGCTGCAAACTTCTGTGTATGAACATGTCCTTTTAAAACAACTTATCTTCATCTCCAGGCTTTTTTTTTTCCCCTCAAAAAAACCCACAAAACTAAGATAGCAATAAATCCTGATTTGGTTTTGAGTCTTCTCAGTTCTCAGAACATATATGATACACACAACCTTACGCTAGCTCTGTAACAAGTCCTACCAGTGCAACTCAGCAAAATGGCAGTCAAAGCAGTCAAGCATATAAAACACTAAGTAAGGCACTGCATCAAACTGTGTATTATCTTCAAAGTCCTTTTATAATTAGACACTGTATTCAAAAATACCACAGAACTGACAAGAATACTCAGAGGAAAGAAAGGTTAGTAAAGACTGGAGAAAAGTCAGTCACAGCGTGGGCATGCAGGTAGCTGCCTCCATACATTTTGTCCATTCATGTACCGGACTCAGCCTGGGAGACTTTTACAACTTTGCAATGGCTCTGCAGTGCTGACACGTGGAAGTCAGCATAAACTTGTCAAACTCATTTTCAGTCATAAATCAAATTTAATCAGAATGTAAGTCTCTGGAGATGAAAAAGCCAGCATATTGATCAGACCTTTTTTTTTCCTAGGAGCATAAAACAAATTCAGAAAATATTTAAGGGATTTCTAAATGAAAAGAAAGGTATGTGAGATAATTAGTGACAGCAGGTTAAAAGAGGATCCRTAAAAAGGATGGAAGGTAAGTCAATAAACGTGAGAGGGATATCTTAATGCAATAAACTGTTTTCAAGAACAGCAAGTAATTCTGGCAAGGTAGAGAAAGAAAGATTTACCAGCTGCATTTCTACCAAGGAACATAAAGAAGATACACAGTGTGATCATTCTCTCATGATCATGTTGTTTTCTTTACAAGATAGAACATAAAAATAATGGAGCATAGGATCATTGCAAATTTGAGTCCTCAGGATGATTTCATTTAGAAGTAATGAACACCTAGTGAAGCCCAGAACTCATCACTCCAAGAGACCTCATCACTGTCTATATTACTTAGTTCACCATTACTGGTGTACATCAAAAATCTGGAAACAYACTGCAAGGTTTGCTTCCCTAAATAGATAGATACGGACACAGAATTACAAGCTTGCTACTATTTATTCACATCTCACTATCTCAGCTGAAAAACATTTCACTTTTTTTACCCTCTGCATTCACACATCACTTCACAATTCAATACAGATTTCAGCAAAATATTTAGGGAACGGAAATACACCTGCAGTTCTCTTTTGTGTTCCTTTAAATAAAATGTGGTATTGTTCCTTCAGTTTTCAAGACTCCTCTTGAGTTCTTGAATTCTGAAGTTATAAATTTACATCACTTACATGCAAAGCTGGTCAGTTTTCCATATAACCAGTCAATGGAGTTGAAACAATCATCAAAATATCATCACAATTTAGTCTCCAGAAATACTCTTTCTTTCTTTCTTTCCTCAAATGGTCTTACCCRCAATAAAATCATTTACTTTAGGGTACTTATTATCAGCACAATTCCCACTGTGCAGGCATCAGCCTAGCATAAAAAAGCCAGGAGAGGTAAGAAGAGTGGCTTAAGAGACACTGTTATGGTTCCCAACTGGCCAGTCTACAGCAAGATACTGCCCTCGGTAACCACAAGCATTACCTTCAAAAACCCTCTATCCGTCAAAGAGGGGCATGAGACATAGCAGGATGTGTCAATCCCCATCTCATCCCTAGGAACTGGGCTCATTTAATCTCCAAGCTGCTCATATGGCTCATTAAGATGTGCTCCTCACCTTGAGGAAGCTCAAATTAAAGCCTTTCTTTTTGTTCYTCTTTATGACAATATAACACTGCATCTTTTAAGCACCTAAAATTAACTTTATACCACATAGCTCAACATGTCTAAATTGATGTGGATGTTCTCTCCTAATGCTCTCAACTAATTATCAGTTTAGTGTAACACAATAAACATTTGCCTTTAAAGACTTCTCAGCTGTATGATTATAAACATTTACGTGCTTCTTTTTGCCAATTTTAAAATGACTTTTTTAAACTAATTTCACATTTACATAGTTCTATTCTCAAAACACCAATAGTACTCAGCACCTAACCAGGCTAACGGCTGGGCATCACCATGCTGATCTTTTCTGTATTTGGCCAAAATCAGTATCAACTTAAAAAAACAGTGACAACAGTATATATGTAATTACATTTAAATTGGCATTCAAATAGTTACTCCTTAAAAATAACATAATGCAATCATCAAAAAAAAMCCACACTGGCAGGTCAACAGAGACTTTTATTTGAAATTTGCAACAGTAYACACAAACACGTCTCAAGTAATCAGCTTACAGGCTGCAATTGTTTTATTTGTACTCTGTGATATTCAAAATATTAGCAACACAATTCTTATTTTCTGTAAATAACAATAAAATAGAACAAAGAAAACATGACTGAGAAGCTGAGGCTCCTTAAGATGTGTTACCCATACTGAGCATTTCACTACTGGCTCTTACACACTTACGCGAGGAGATTTCTGGGCAGCTGGGCCCATTCCAGGGGCTGTTCCATTACGTTCCTTACAAACATCACAATAATGCATCATGACCAAGTGTGTCTGACTTTTTCCAATACAATRTCAAAATCATAAGCACCCTCCCAGCATCAAAAAATGCTACCTGGTTGCAATCCAAATCCCTCCTTTCTGCCTTAAATATTCCAGACTTGGTCTCTTTTCRCACTACAAAATACATCTGCCTGTTCAAAATCCTACCTGTAGAGGTCGTGTCTGTGAGAGAAGCTAGTGAGGGAGCAGGCATGGTCAGGCAAGCTAATAAAGTGGTGGCAGTAGTGACTATAAGTAACCTACATTTGGTAATTTGATGTATGGGGGAGGCAAAGGAATTTGCAACTGAATCGTTGMGAGACGTTTAAGGGAGCAATGATACAGTCTGCACTGGAAAGCAGGGAATGGGAGGGTTTGGTGCCTAAGGGTACTTGTGCAGCAGGGGCTTGATTTACCATGAAGCTCCTCCTTTCCAAACCCAGCTAACTATGAGCTGGGACAGTCACTGCACTACTGCCATCATCCTAATACCATCTTTGGCTATCGGACCTACCTTTCATTGGGGACTTTACAAGCACAACACATTTCAAACCACCTTSGTCACCTTCTCTCTCTCTCCATACACAGTACTAACTTAATAAGAGTTGCCTACTTTAAATGAAGATGGACATTTCAAGATCCTCAACAAAAAGGCAAGCAGAGCTCAGTGACACAAAATACTTCAGGTAAGAGCAGTCCTTTATGAAGTTGTATAAGGCAGACATCAAACAGCTCCTCTACATCCTGTTGTGAGGTGGGCTTCATGGATGCCCCTTGATCTTCAGCAGAACCTAAACATGTACCGCTTTGCGCTCAACAGGCTGTGTTGCAAATCGGGCTAGTTCGAAACACAAGTTTGAAAGCACAAGTTGAGACTGGTTCAAACACAGTTTGTCTACTCTATCTGATAGACTTCTTCTGAACTATCCGCATCCGCTGTGCAGAGGATGGAAGCTGCTTTCCAGAGTGGAGCATGCAGAGAAATGCAGGGAGCAGGGATGGAGCTAGGAGCCGCCGCCTCTCACAGGAGCAAGTTACTGCAGCCTAGTGAACGCGGTAACTTGCTCCTGTGCGAGGCAGCAGCTCCTCTGCTTGCTCTGGGCGAAGTCTGTGGCGCGGTGCGCAGGAATGCAGCCAGGTCTGCAACTCACGGCTCTAGGCAGCAGCACAGAAG